GTTATCAGTGTTGTAATCTATACGTCTGATCTGCCACAGTGCCACACTGCCACTAAATGTCGAATCAGGCTAAAGTCGTGCTTCAAATGGCTCCCCCCCCTTTTGGGGCGATTTCAGTCAGGTTGAAAATCGCCCAGAAGTCTGTCATAGACTCCCATGTAAAATCTATTTTTTTCAAATTTCAGAGCCTTCAATACAATCTCAATGGGTGTCTGTGGGCTTGCACTTACGCGCTTTCGTCATACGTTACGTAACCATGAACGTAACTGAGAAAAGAGTGGATTGTTTGAAAGAAGTTCCTTTTTGTCGGCGAACAAATGAAGATAAATTGGCAACGAAACAATTAGGACCTCCCAGACCAAATTTAATAATTCAACAGGTTTCTACTAAAGGCGGAAAGTCCTACACCCGAGGATTTTCCAAAAATTGGTACGAACTAAAAAAGACATTGCCACTCACTCAACTGGATGACGAGGGATACAGGCTAGCTGTCCGCCGCCACAACGATGAGGTTAGTGTTGATAATCACAAGTTTACTGGAGAACCAACTGAGACCAAGTAGAGACTTTGGACAGGGTGGATATGGTGTAATAAAGGCAGTTTATTCAGAGGTAAATATATCTGGAATCGCGTTCACGGACCCGTTCGTCAAACTCTTAGGGAGCTATAAATTAAGCCCCATTACTTACCATATCAGATAAGAGAAATTGCTGCAGCTACATATATTTTACATCCTGGCCCTACATAGTTCACTATTTGCATCACTTACCAAAATATTACATGTGGTCATATATGCTTGGAAAGTGGAGATGCCATAGAACGTCAAAAAAGTAAACATTGCTGGAGACCAGGGGCGGCCTGTTCAATAGGGCGATATGGGCGACGCACTGCCAAACGGGAAAAGGAAGGGATTTTTTTTCTAATCAATTATATCACGGCAACAGTAGTTATCAGTGTTGTAATCTATACGTCTGATCTGCCACAGTGCCACACTGCCACTAAATGTCGAATCAGGCTAAAGTCGTGCTTCAAATGGCTCCCCCCCCTTTTGGGGCGATTTCAGTCAGGTTGAAAATCGCCCAGAAGTCTGTCATAGACTCCCATGTAAAATCTATTTTTTTCAAATTTCAGAGCCTTCAATACAATCTCAATGGGTGTCTGTGGGCTTGCACTTACGCGCTTTCGTCATACGTTACGTAACCATGAACGTAACTGAGAAAAGAGTGGATTGTTTGAAAGAAGTTCCTTTTTGTCGGCGAACAAATGAAGATAAATTGGCAACGAAACAATTAGGACCTCCCAGACCAAATTTAATAATTCAACAGGTTTCTACTAAAGGCGGAAAGTCCTACACCCGAGGATTTTCCAAAAATTGGTACGAACTAAAAAAGACATTGCCACTCACTCAACTGGATGACGAGGGATACAGGCTAGCTGTCCGCCGCCACAACGATGAGGTTAGTGTTGATAATCACAAGTTTACTGGAGAACCAACTGAGACCAAGTAGAGACTTTGGACAGGGTGGATATGGTGTAATAAAGGCAGTTTATTCAGAGGTAAATATATCTGGAATCGCGTTCACGGACCCGTTCGTCAAACTCTTAGGGAGCTATAAATTAAGCCCCATTACTTACCATATCAGATAAGAGAAATTGCTGCAGCTACATATATTTTACATCCTGGCCCTACATAGTTCACTATTTGCATCACTTACCAAAATATTACATGTGGTCATATATGCTTGGAAAGTGGAGATGCCATAGAACGTCAAAAAAGTAAACATTGCTGGAGACACATTTTTGGAGAAGACATCGCGTTTGCTAGCGAAGAGATTTGTTGTGGCAAATGAACTTGGGCTGGGAATTGCCAGGAACCTCACGATAAGATATATGCATCAGCATTGCGAGTCTCATGATTCTATACGTATTGCGATTCGATACTGTGATTTTATTGCGCACCATATGTCTGTTGCAGAGGGATCAGAAAGCCATGAGAACGAGTTTTGATCAGTCATGGAAATAAAAGTGCTGAAAACAAATTGGCTCCCAATGTGAAAAGATTGAGAACAAGCTATGAAGGAACAATAATGGTGTTTTGGTGCAGGTACAGCCAACTAGCGCTAAAATATTGCGATATTGTCAATACAGTATATCGTAAAGTATCACTATGTAACTCGATTTCTTTCACCCCAATCCCTCAAATTAACGGTAAATAACTGAATTGTTTGCCCCACATTTAGCTAAGATGATTAGCTAGCCAGCTAAAATGTTTTATTTAGTTAGCAGTCGCATCTACAATAGTTTACTGTCAATAACATGTCTCCAAAAATGACGTGGTGTCTCCAATTGTGTTGACATTTTACAATTGCAATGCGCATCCATGAGTATCCACTTTCTGTAGCTCAGCTGGTAGAGCATGGTGCTTGTAACGCCAAGGTAGTGGGTTCGATCCCCGGGACCACCCATACACAAAAATGTATGCACGCATGACTGTAAGTCGCTTTGGATAAAAGCGTCTGCTAAATGGCATATTATTATTATTATTATTATTATTATTATCTGAAGAGAGCCCCGAAACATTGTGTGCAGACATTTTATGCAATAAATGAAGTAGGTTCAATCTAGTAGTTCTGATCTTCTGATTGGTCCTGATGAGTTGGGCGAGGTCACCTCCAGGCTACTGTCACTGTTGCATTGGCTCTGAGTCGGGTTCTCTGTCTTCAAATGTTCAGCCTAAGAGAGGGGATTTTTGTGTGTGTGTGTGTGTGTGTGTGTGTGTTTAACAGTGATGATGTGTGTGTGTGTGTGTGTTTAACAGTGATGATGTGTGTGTGTGTGTGTGTTTGTGTGTGTGTGTGTCCTCAGAGCAAGAACTCGTGAGTTGGAAGAACTGAGAGGCCTATGGCGTGGGTGTTGTCCTTGGCCACCTGCTGACAAGGCTGACAAGATAGGACCCTTTTGTCCATTGTTATTGGATAGGAACAGAACTTATAACCAGCTCCTGACCTAAATAGATCTTAGCGCAACATTTTACTCAACATATCATATTCCATATTCACTATAACAAATATATTTACTAAGACATTAGCAAGAACCGCCACATCCTCAGCCGGCTAATCCAGTGTGTGAAGTTTTGCGGAGTGTTTGAGTTAGCTTTGCGAGGCAAAGATGAAACTGAGGGCTCCACCAACCCTGGTAAGCCAACACTTTTGAGATCAGTCAATAAATGCTTCTGGTATTGACTTATATGCTGCCCCTGTCTTCATGTTGTTGCTGGACATATCTTTTTTTAAATGTGTGTAGGTCACCTAAATCATCAGAAAAATTGCCCCTCCTGAGAATTTTTTCAGGAGCCGCCACTGCTGGAGACACATTTTTGGAGAAGACATCGCGTTTGCTAGCGAAGAGATTTGTTGTGGCAAATGAACTTGGGCTGGGAATTGCCAGGAACCTCACGATAAGATATATGCATCAGCATTGCGAGTCTCATGATTCTATACGTATTGCGATTCGATACTGTGATTTTATTGCGCACCATATGTCTGTTGCAGAGGGATCAGAAAGCCATGAGAACGAGTTTTGATCAGTCATGGAAATAAAAGTGCTGAAAACAAATTGGCTCCCAATGTGAAAAGATTGAGAACAAGCTATGAAGGAACAATAATGGTGTTTTGGTGCAGGTACAGCCAACTAGCGCTAAAATATTGCGATATTGTCAATACAGTATATCGTAAAGTATCACTATGTAACTCGATTTCTTTCACCCCAATCCCTCAAATTAACGGTAAATAACTGAATTGTTTGCCCCACATTTAGCTAAGATGATTAGCTAGCCAGCTAAAATGTTTTATTTAGTTAGCAGTCGCATCTACAATAGTTTACTGTCAATAACATGTCTCCAAAAATGACGTGGTGTCTCCAATTGTGTTGACATTTTACAATTGCAATGCGCATCCATGAGTATCCACTTTCTGTAGCTCAGCTGGTAGAGCATGGTGCTTGTAACGCCAAGGTAGTGGGTTCGATCCCCGGGACCACCCATACACAAAAATGTATGCACGCATGACTGTAAGTCGCTTTGGATAAAAGCGTCTGCTAAATGGCATATTATTATTATTATTATTATTATTATTATCTGAAGAGAGCCCCGAAACATTGTGTGCAGACATTTTATGCAATAAATGAAGTAGGTTCAATCTAGTAGTTCTGATCTTCTGATTGGTCCTGATGAGTTGGGCGAGGTCACCTCCAGGCTACTGTCACTGTTGCATTGGCTCTGAGTCGGGTTCTCTGTCTTCAAATGTTCAGCCTAAGAGAGGGGATTTTTGTGTGTGTGTGTGTGTGTGTGTGTGTGTGTTTAACAGTGATGATGTGTGTGTGTGTGTGTGTTTAACAGTGATGATGTGTGTGTGTGTGTGTGTTTGTGTGTGTGTGTGTCCTCAGAGCAAGAACTCGTGAGTTGGAAGAACTGAGAGGCCTATGGCGTGGGTGTTGTCCTTGGCCACCTGCTGACAAGGCTGACAAGATAGGACCCTTTTGTCCATTGTTATTGGATAGGAACAGAACTTATAACCAGCTCCTGACCTAAATAGATCTTAGCGCAACATTTTACTCAACATATCATATTCCATATTCACTATAACAAATATATTTACTAAGACATTAGCAAGAACCGCCACATCCTCAGCCGGCTAATCCAGTGTGTGAAGTTTTGCGGAGTGTTTGAGTTAGCTTTGCGAGGCAAAGATGAAACTGAGGGCTCCACCAACCCTGGTAAGCCAACACTTTTGAGATCAGTCAATAAATGCTTCTGGTATTGACTTATATGCTGCCCCTGTCTTCATGTTGTTGCTGGACATATCTTTTTTTAAATGTGTGTAGGTCACCTAAATCATCAGAAAAATTGCCCCTCCTGAGAATTTTTTCAGGAGCCGCCACTGGTTAGGTCCAGTCTCTGACAGTCCTAGTCCCTCTGTGTGTGTCTCCTCTCCACCTGCCGGATGAACGGGGTCAGCATTGGGGAGTACCATGGTCTGCGGGTGGGCTCGGCCCTGCTCAGCATCGTGAGGGAGTGTGATGCAGATGCCGTAGGAGGAATCTTCCTGGGTGCAGGGGGGTTGGGTGAGTACATCCAGGACTACACCTAGTCTTTGGTTTTGCTTAGTGCAATGCAATGTGCTATGCAAAATGTGCTATACAAAAGTGCCATGCAAAATTTCATTGGTACTTGCAGGGCATAACATTGCAAGAGGAATGCAAATGTTATTTATAGCTACAGTATATGCCTACAGATATTTACTGTTAGCTTATTTAGTTCAGAAACGAGTGCATCTTTGATGGTGGCACCACAAGTGGGCTTTTTCCCCAATATGTTAACACTTCATGCAAATGTATGTACCCTCTTTTAATCTCTGTGGTCTATGTTGACAATATTTACACTCCAGGCTGTCCTTTTTCTTCTTCAACAAAAACATATACAGGTAACTGCTAAAAAAAAGGAAACGCCAACATAAAGTGACTTAATAGGGCGTTGGGCCACCACGAGCCGCCAGAACAGCTTCAATGCGCCTTGGCATGGCATAGATTCTACAACTGTCTGGAACTCTATTGGAGGGATCTGACACCATTCTTCCACGAGAAATTCCATCATTTGGTGTTTTGTTGATGGTGGTGGAAAACGCTGTCTCAGGAGCCGCTCCAGAATCTCCCATACGTTTTCAATTGGGTTGAGATCTGGTGACACACACACACACACACACACACACACACACACACACACACACACCCTTATACCCCCATGCTCATTTGAGACCCCTCTTTCAAAGTCACTAAGATCTTGTCTTCTAGCCATGGTAGCCAAAATAATGGGCTATTGGGCATTTTTAATCATAACCCTAACCATGATGGGATGTTAATTGCTTAATTAACTCAGGAACTACACCTGTGTGGAAGCACCTGCTTTCAATATAGGTTACTTTGTATCCCTCATTTACTAAAGTGTTTCCTTTATTTGGGCAGTTACCTGTACATCTATCTTCGATTACCAACTGTATTTTATACTGCAATGTTGGAATGGTAGCATTTTTATCTCTATCCTAAGGTGTCATATGGGTCTAAGAGGCCATTCTTTCTCAGGTGTACAAGGCCTGCTGCAATGTCTAATATTTGCAATTTTTGGTTTTATGGTCATCCCAAACTATAGGGTATTTTCCTTGTGAAAAAATAACAATGTATTGCTTTTAAACAAAACACTATGGTAGTAATGAATTCCTCAAATAGTTGTAGACATTTTGTATGGAGAAATAAAGCACACAGACAACCCCTTCTTTGCCATGATGGGATTTTCCCATTCACTGCAGAATCTAAATGTCCTGAGGTGCAGGTGTCCGCTTATTATTTGCTCCAGAGAGTACAACTACAATCCAAGTAGGCTATGTCTCTGTGGCCTATGTCTATGTCTGTGGCTATGAACTGAATGAACCCAACTCAGTCTTTTTGCGAAGAGCTTTTCGCTCCTGTTGCAGCCTGGCGACTGGTGAGATGTTCTGGCAGCATAGACATGCGTCACACGCAGCCACGCAGCCACCCTCAGGAACAGCCACTGTTTAATGGCAGCTCTCTCTGTGGCTCAGAACAGAAATCAATATGTGTGTTCATCCTGCCTGCCTGAGGTTAGCTGGAGCTTTTTAGATGCATTCACAACTCCTAGTGGACTCCTGAGACTGAAGGAGCGTCTGGGCTAATAAAGTTGGTAAAGGCAAATCCACTTATCAAAAAAGAGTATGTGAATACATCCAATTAGAATACATTTTAAAAAAGCAAAATAGATGAAAAAACATTATTTTTCTGAACATCTTGAGAATTGGAGAAACTAAAGAAACAGAACATAATTGTATACAAACATTAATAGGCTGTGTGCATTTTTATGAGACCCAAAACTCAGCTGTTTCTACCAGTAGGCTAACCATCATGTGGTAGCTCATTTTTAGTTGAGTTGCACAAGACGGGAATTTGTCCAATTTTTGTTTTACACAGAGCATACTGCTCATAAACATCCATATCAGTCAAAATGTTTATTAAAAACACTTGAAATAAAGTTAGTAGTTATACCTGTCTTTCTTTTCCAGGCCTCCTCATCTCTGTCTTCCCCTTCATAAGAGCCTGGATCAACATTAACAACATTCTCCCCACCTTGGGTAAGTTATCAATGTCTCCCATTTTCTTTTCATCAAGGAAATCCATTTGCAAGGATTTATTTTACTTTTTTTTGTGAACATAATTTCCCCTTCCCTGCACAGGAAACTTCAGAGTGCAACCTATGCCTGCCAACCCTCCTGGCCCTGAGCAACCTGCAGAGACACTGAAACGAGAAGGTAATCGTCAGATGGCCATGTTTGTAGTTTTTAGTCTCTGTGGTTCAATTGCTGTAGTCACCAGTGTTGGGGTCAGTTATAGTTCGAAGTCATACAATTCATTGGATAGAATAAAAACGTCATTAAAAACTAAAGGGCAATTTCTAAGTTCTAAGTAAAAGGCCTTATAACTCTGCAGGCTGGGTTAGATAGGACATGATAATGAACTCTACCAGGAGAGTGTGTGATGAAAGAGCATGCCCATTACATTAGAGAATACTCATCACACTCACTCCTTTATACTTTTTGATGAGATGGAGATTGCTTTGAACAGCAGCAATTGGGCTGGAGAGAGCTGTGTCTGAAGGATGCTGCACAGGCACCACAGTCACTTACCATAGCAGTTAGTCTATTCTATAATAGAATGATGTGGAGAGATAGCTAGACTACGTTGTATAAGCTACAGAAAGCTAAGGCCAACCAAACCACTGCATAGCCAGTAGTGTTTATTAGGTTGCATTGATTGTCCTCCTTTACAAGTGGTCATTTCTCAGACAGGCATGAACTGATAATGCATATTGTATTCACATTGTATTAATATGCACACATATTTCACTTCAGGTAGTGGTTTTATAACTGTATGCTTCATAGATACTCTTGTTGTTCAATGTGACCCAGAGGATGTTGTGTTCCGTTCTCTGACAGTGACTCAGAGCCAGCTGAATCTGGAGTGCTCTAAGAGCCCGATGGGGACATTTGTTGATGCCGGACCAATTGCTGAGGCCTCCGCAGATGAGGGGTGAGACATGACAGACAGATGGACACACTTACACACACACACACACACACGCACACACACGCACACACACACACGCACACACACACACACACACACACACACACACACACACACACACACACACACACACACACACACACACACACACACACACACACACACACACACACACACACCCACACTCACACAAACTTTGTCATATTTGAAATATACATGTACATTTTAGTTTCACAGTGTGGGAATCTCTTGGGTTGTGAATGTAATCAGTGTTTTTATTTCATACATCAGCTGATGATGCATCCAGCCACTCAGTGGCACTCCAGAGTAATGGAATGATTTGGATTGCAGCCTGCTTGAAAGTACGCTGTTATGCGCCTGCCTGCTTCTCTCACTCTCAGTTCATAGATGTTTTTGATAGTCTCTGCTGGAACCAGATGAATGTTAATGGCATCATATAGACTCTAGAGTAATGTGTTTGTGAGATTGGTCTGTGAGATGAGTCACTGGCAGACTCACCTTTCTTTGTGTTGCTAATACCATGACCTTCTCATGATAACATTTTGCTATAATGAACAGTGAGGATAATAGCAGAGGACACACACAGGTATTACTTCTAAATCATAAGGCAACAGTAAGAATATAGCGCTTACTGTTGATTGAGAAAAGGAAACAAGTTAAGCATTGAAGCATATACAACATTAGGGTTGTTCAATGAATAGAGTACATTTTGCGTCCCTTTGATATTTTAAGTAGAAATTGCGCACCAATATCAAATTTTAAAAGCCTGTTATATTAAATGAAGTTCACTTTAATATAAACCACATGGAAAATTCAATCAATCCGATTTTTAATATTAAAAAAGACTTGCTATAGTGCCAGAAATCAACATTTTTACGTCCTTTCGACTTCTAGGAAAATTTTAACCCACTTAACCCCAGAATGTTTTCAGCATCATTGTTAAGCCCTAGATATGTTTTTGCTTTGACAAATTCATTTCTAAGGATTATTTATTTAATGTGATAAGTGATTAATTTACGTCTGTCACTCTTTTTAAGGTCAACCCTGTTACCTGAACTGAACTCTCATTTTATTATGGTGAAACTATTCCTTTAAAAAAAAGAAACATTGAATATATAATAGTTAAAAGCAGGTGAGCCGTTTCTACTCTTTTTGGCCATTTTCTGGTGTTTTGTGGTGGAAAACTGAGCATAACCTATCAACCCTTTTACCCATAGATAGACAGGCTAGAAACCCATAGATAGACAGGCTATAAATGTTTCAACAATAAAAATAAAATATGTGAAGCTTGCATTGAATTGCCCTGTCACAAGGGGATTTATGGTTGATTTAGGGTGTGTTCGTAAATTCAATCTGGAGTGCCAGAGTGCGCTCAGAGTGCGCACTGGGTGTTTGTAAATTCTGTGCTTTGTCAGATTGTCCGTTAGTAAATTCAGAGCGTTTCGCTCTCGGAGCGTTCAAAGCGCACACTTGACGCTCTGGCCGAGGAATAGGGTTGATCCGAGCGTTCTGACCTCACAGCGTCAGTCAAGCACCCAAGCTAACTGGCTAAAGTTGGCTAGCTTGCTAGCTAATTCCAGACACAAATAAGAGAACACCTCACTCTGACCATTTTACTCACCCTAGCAGAGCTGGTTAGGCTGTTTTCATGTTATCCAGAGCTTTGGGGACTGTAATTGTGCTGCTGGCAACAATTTCATTACGCTTTATTGCCGACACCGGCCATATTCAACCGAGCTTTGTCAACCGGTGTTGAGCGTTTGTAAATTAATCAGTTATTCTCTGCTCTGGCACACTCAGACAAGAGTGCTCTGAAATCGGAGTAGATAGCCAGAGTGAATTTACAAACACACCCTTAAGATGAAAACCTCAACCCTGTTATGTCAACACTGTTACTCTAATGGCACTTTATTGGCACTTACTATAGTATATCTTTTTTTTTACTCCTTGAGATGGGAAAACATGTTTTTAATTAGGTTGAGCATGTGACCCATTAGCATTGCTATCTAACAAATGTATATTTTCATAGATTATGTGTATTTGATGTGCATTCTTTCTATTAAAAAGAAAAACAAAAAAGTATCAGAACCAGTTCAGTACAAAGAACAAATACTGTACTGTAAAGAGAAGGAGACATCTATTCCTTGTCATAACCAAGCAATCAAGTTGTGCCCAGATGCTGTTGCCATGGTAACCGAGACCCCAGATTTAATTCGTCATCTGACTCTGTCATTCATCAACCTTGCAGGGCATGCATGTCTGATCCAGTTAGACACGCACGCACACCCCCCCCCCCCCCCCCCCCCGCACCCCCCCCCCACACACACACACACGGGCATGCATGCACATTTCAGACATATCTAACAAAAAAAATAATTTACCATGAGCTTGGCCATCCCTCCTAAAACCCCCACTATTCTGTTGCAGGACATCCTCAGACCGCCAGACATCTTGTCCAGGCGGAAGTTCAAGCAGACCCTCCCTGATCCAGACCTCTCATAAATTTGTTTTATAGCAGACAGCACAAATACAGTATCTCCTGCTCACCTGCTCACACTTGGACTCAAATGGACTTCACAAGTTGGTCAATCGGATGTTAATTTAAATCCACAGTACAATTCAGAAGCAACATAGTGTGCCTTCTCTTAACTCTCCAGAGGAATAAACAGTATTATTTAATTATCTATATTATTATTATCATATACGCATTTACTAGTTAGATATAAGAGCAAAGAGGTAACTTGTTCCTCCCTGAAGTGATTTGCCTCACGTTTATATTTGACATCAACAAAGGAAAATCAACTACTGGATAGTAACTCAGCTCAGCTCATCACACAAGATAATGAAATAATAAAGTGGTGATTATGACTATTAGAACCTGATGAGTGAGCCCTTACATATACACTATCAGTCAAAAGTTTGGACACACCTACTCATTCAAGGATTTTTCTTAATTTTTACTATTTTCTACATTGTAGGATAATAGTGAAGATATCAAAACTATGAAATAACACATATGAAATCATGTATCCGGTACTGTACATATCTCTCAGACTCTGTAGGGAGAAGCACGATTATTACTTATTTTATCCTCGCTCACATCTTATGACTAAACCCCCCCCCCCCACAAGCACGCACGCACACACGCACGCACACACTCACACACGCATACACATACACACATACACACACACTCACGCACACACACACACATGCACTCACGCACACACACACATGCACATACACACACCAAAATGCACCCCTGCATTGAAACAAAATGCATTTATATTCAGGAGAGCTCAGCCAGGCAATGACTGCTGCATGGGTAGTAGCGTGGGGAAAAAACAGTGCTCAGATGTACAGCATGATGTGTGCTCTGAGCCTGGAATTGAATAATGAATGCAGTATTGTGTTGGCTTCTTGTCTCGCTGTGAGGATCTTTAAGTCCACAACTTTTTTGTAAATAGGAGTTTACAATTACATCATGTAAGCTCTATTGTACCTCAATACGTAATTTCATAACAGGAGACTTGCTGAAGTTATTATCTGACCTGGGCGAGCCAACCCTCTGATGAATATATAACGTTTCATTAAGGCTAACTTACACCGTATAGAATTACAACTGATTTGAAATGCAGGACCTTCCCTTTACAGTGCCCTTTTCACTGAATAACAATGCAAATACTTGGAAATGACTTTGTTTCCAATGTTGCTCTATGCCTACGAAATTGTATCATGTATGATTGAAAGATAGTCAAATAATATACAATTTCAAGGTGTGAACAGTAATGGAGTAAATGCTATTGGTCTTTTGAGGTTACATGGGGACACTTTCTATCTGGGGAGCATGTGTTTTCAGATGTAGCTAGTTTCGAATTCAAATGCTTGAAAGAATAAGTGTTTTTTCCCATTTGTTCATAGCCTGAATGCCAGTCTGTTTCTGCTATCATGCCAACTTCTTGTTACTCATTGTCATGCCAAACAATTAGCAATGGAGTTGGCTAGAGCACAAACCGATCTAGGACAGTAGTGGTGCGTGGGTAAAATCACAGGGAAAGCCAAGCCAGGAATAAAATGCCATATTACAACCTGATCATTGCGTTGTTTGCTCTATAACCTGCTAGTTCATATGCCTTGACCCTGTGATATATAGGCCTAAAGCCAAGACAATAAGAAGACACAGTGGCAAAATAAATTCAACCACAGCTTAGTTTCATCACAAAACCGGAGAGCAACATCTGTCCGGTGAAGTCCACAAACCATATTGCATGTAACAAACAGTTACATGACCTACAGAGTATGGTCAAGCAAGTTAATGTTTCCGACATTTTCGGACCACGGAGAGTTACCACAAGTCGCAAAGGAAACAGGCGCTGCCTCCACTATTCCAGCACCATTTCAACATAATCTAATCACCTATGCTTGGTCTAATACAGTGACAACTAAAAGATACCAAAAACTATTTTGTCCAATCAATGTAAGCTAAACATGATGGTGCACGATTTTAGGTAGCTAGCTAACCACAGGAGGACAACAACACAATGAGATGCAACAATTCAAGTTTTCTGTCAGTGACGTTTGGCTTCTAATGTGTGATTGGTGTGAAGCCAAATCCAAACTGGCTTCACTTGACACTTTTTTGAACACAGAAAGAAGAAAGATACATTATTTTGTGTTTCTTTTTTTTTCTTGGTCATTTTTTGGGGAAGCCTAGCTTCCCTTGGCATCCAGGAATATATGCCACTGATCTAGGACCATGTTTATTTGTTCATGCAGTATCAAGATAATCAACAAATGAAGACTAGCCTACTTGCAATATGTTAAATAATGTATTAGCTTTGCATAGATTGTTCAAGCACCGGGAGCTGTCCACGGAGTCCGCTAGCCTCCCCCCAATGCTCTTTCATCAAACACCCCAGTACACCACGTGGAGCGGTGTATATCATAGTGGTGTCACTCACTATCACACGTAAGTATTGTGGTACC